CCTGGACTGCGGGGAGTTGGGGCTGGGAAACCCACTGTGGTGCTCTGAGGTCCCGCTGCGCAGATCCCAGTGTGCCGGGAAGGAGAATCTACAAAGGGCAATACTAAGGAAATGTCAGGGAATTTTTGTTTTTAAGATTTGCTTACTCTGGAGTAAGAGCTATTGCCCTCCACCTATGGGCACCGTTATGCGTCCCAGCTACTCCACTTCCCTTCCTGCTCTCTGCTTGCGGCCTGGGAAACCATTAGGTCATGGCCCAAAGCTATCTGACCCTGAACCTGCGAAGGACACCTTGAAGAAGTTCCTGGCTTCAGCTCAGCTCAGCTCTGGCAGTTGTGGAAATTAGCGATTAGTGATTTTTCATCTCTAGGATCTGCATTAGCTCAGTGTGTTTGCTCAGTCCACCTGAGCCCCTCCTGGTCGGTAGTTTCCCCTTTACAGCCCCCGCTGTTCTGTAGTTGGGAATTGAGAGGTCTTAGGGCATGAATCCCCTCTTCACCGCTAGCAATAAAGGACTTCTGAATCTCCATCAGTGCGTGGTCTATGTATTTTCCACTCCCTGAGTTTGGAAGCGTGTGGGCGGGGCCTTTCCTGTCTGGTTTCCAGTGTTCCCGCCCACTTTTCCAAGGTTTCTGGAAGAGGGTGCTCTGACTCCTCAGCGTCTTCCTGCAGGGGAATGTTCGGTCTGCCCTGTGCCGGCCACCAGAGGGCAGCAGAGCCCTAGGTAAACCTGAGCAGCCTTGGGGAGGCCTTCTGGTAGACCCTCCTGGGTCTTTTCTCTGATGCCTGCAGATTTGGAGAATTCTAGAGCTGAGGTTTGGAGCAAAGATCTCCGCATTCCCTTTTACATGCAATCGTTTAAATGTTAAAACGTTTATGCAAAAGCAGAATGAAAAAAGGCACATTGTGTTGTGTTGTGCAACCTTTTTTTTTTTTTTTTTTAAACCCATGAAATTGTTTTCAGGAACTTCTGGAAGAACCCTCCCATGTATTTGCTGCTCCCTCATGCTCCTCAGATCCTTGGAGCACCCTAGGGCCGCTGCTCCAACATGGCGGCCTCACTGGGCACTCAGGGGAACTTTGGGTCAGGCGTGGCTCCTGTTGGTGTTTGACCTGGGCATGTTTCTCCTGTTGCTAACCCTGTCTCAGCCCTGAGGTGAGAACTGCCAGAAGCACCTGACAGTGGAGTGAAGCAGGAAGGATGTCTGCCTCATTCAGAGGAACAGAGGCCCAGGATGTGGTGGTGGTCACTGGCAGCAGGCTGTGGCTCCAGTGGATTCCTCTGTGGTCACCTCCTGGGCTGCCCATGTGGGCAGGACATGCGCTGGCCTTCTGGGACTCAGCCGTTGGCAGGTGGTGCCTGGGGAGTGTGTGTCTCCTGGGGCTCTCCATTCCAGGTATGTCAGGAATATATTTCTCTTTCTCCTCCCTGCTTTCCTCTTTTTCCTTCCTTTACACTCTCTATTTTCTTATTTCCTCCTTCTGTCTGCTTTCTCTCCTTTCTAATTTTTTATTTTTACCTATTTGTTAGGCTAAATTTATTAAATTTTCTCTATGACTTTTTAAATCAGAGCTAATTTTTTTCTGTGTATTAGTACAATACTATAACTTGTGATAAATGCATTCTATGAAATTAGATTACAACATTTTTGCACCAAAGTCAATCCATCTTCTGATTCTATTTCCACGAATGTTCTGATGCCCCTTGTGCATCTCAGGAGCTGGAGGAGAGCGAGACCTCCTCACCTACTCTGGACTCAGGCTTGGCAGTGGGTGGGGGTCTATTCAGAGCAAGGTTGGGCAGCAGGGGTCCTAGGCCAGGAGGACTCTGTGGCTGACCTCTGGGTGGGGCTGGGCGGACCCTGGTCCTTGGGAGGGAGAAGAAGCAGAAGGCTGATTCTGAGTCTGAGTTGTATCATTGTAGGGGTGACAGCCTGGCCTGGGAAGGCTCTTCCCCATGAGGTGCAGACTGACAGGCCCAGAAGGAGAAAGTGCCCCTGGGCCTGTGGTCAGAAGGCTGACATGCCACAGCTCTGCTCACCGGCCAGGTTAGTGTCAGATGGAATGAAAAACTTTATAAAATAGAAAAAAAATACCACTCAGTTGTGGGCAACACCCGCGTTGCCGCATATCCCAAGCCGAGCCAGGCGGAGGGACTAGGGTTATGAGACAGAGAAAACAGACAACACACCATGGATCATTCTTGTGAAGAGAATGCCAGTTTATTCAAAGTCAAGCTGCACCTTTATAGTCTGCTTGGCCCTTCCCAGCACTTTCCCAATGCTCAAGCAACACCTAAACTCCCCTGAGGGCATGTAAAAAGGGGAAGCAGGGAAGAGGGAACTTGCAGTCAAGCCAGGGACTAAATGTATCAGGCCAAGATTGCTCATCCTGTTACACCTTGAAAAACAAGCTAAGCTGTGAAGTTAACCCTTGGGAGACCTGGGCCTACACTCAGTGTGTGTGTGTGTGTGTGTGTGTGTGTGTGTGTGTGTGTGTGTGTATGTGTTTGTGTGTGCTCACATGTGAGCATGTGTCTTTTATTTTTGTTTGTTTTCGGAAAATGAGCAACTTCAAAATAGTTTTGTTTTTTTTAATATTGATTTAATTTTACTGGAAAGACAGATTTACAGAGAAGAGAGACAGGGAGAAAGAACTTCCATCAACTGACTCACTCTACCAATGGTTGCAATGGCCAGTGCTGAGCTGATCTAAAGCCAGGAGCCAGAATTTTCCTCCAGATCTCCAGTGGGGCATCATCTTCTGCTTTCTCAGAGGCATTAGCTGGGAGCTAGCTCAGAATTGGAGCAGTTGGGACATCCATAAGTGCCCTTATGGGATGAAGGTGTCTCAGGCTGCAGCTTAACCAGTATGTCACAGCAGCTGCCCCATCTGTTGTATTTTAAAATAGTAACATGTTTAATATACTTTGTGTTGTCTGTCATTTTATGGCTGAGACTCTTACTCAAATCTAAGTTGAAAGTACTAGAAATACTAAGAGGTATGACCTGCCTGCTAACATGGAAGTAACATGTTAACCCCAACACTATTAGGATCATTTATATTTGAGGGGGAAAGCCTTGGTGGCTCAGTGAACACGCTCTTGTTACAGCTCCTGGGCCTGGGTCCTGGGGAACTGGGAGGTGGTATTGCTTCTTACTGGCCTCATTCTGCAGCTCACAGGGCCCTGTGGGTGTGTCTTGCAGAAACTGCCCTGTGCTGGATGCTCCTTCCTCTGTCTGATAAGCAGGGCAAAGGTCTGGGCTGGGCTGCAGGGTGAGAGAAGCTTCCAGGTGGTATATCAACTGGAGGCCCTTGGAATCTGTGTCCCTTTGGCAGCTCTTCCTCACTTTGTGTTGTTTGGAACGTTTGGAACTGGGGCTGGGAGGGAGAGCTGGGGACACTGGAGGGTGCAGTCTCCCTGAAGCTCTACCTTCCTGTTTCCTCTTGGAAGTTCCTGGATCTGGACATGACAGGGCGCATGTTCTAGTCTGCTTACAGGTGTGACAAGAAGGTGGCAGGAAGCTAATGTGTGTAGCTTAGATCCTGACAGCTAATCCACACTGAGTAAAATGTAGCTGTTTCTTTAGCATCTCTAGGCTTTGGGCAACCCCCTGATGGGCAGTGCAGGTGGTGACTGAGAGGAGAGGCTGAGGAGTGTTTGGAGCTGTGAGGGGCTGTGCAGCTGCCACTCCCTGGGCAGCTGTAGGGCTTTCCATGTCCATGTTCATGCTGAGAGCAGGGAGCAAGGTCCACAGGGCAGCCATTCCCTGTCCTGGTGGGGCCACTTTCACTTTAAATGGTGTCAGGGACCAGAGAGATGTTGGTGCTTGTGGCTGGGAGGGTGTAGTGGTCCTGGGGTCAGGGCTCTGCAGAAGCTGCTGCAGCTGTGCCCACTGTTTTGTTCTGGTCTCCTGGGAGCCCAATGTCTCCTGGGAGTAGCTGCCCTGGGCCCAGAAGTGGACCTGGCAGAGGACCCAGTGGCTGTGAGGGCAGCCCATGGCAGGTGGAAGCTTGGAGGTGTGGACTGCTGGGGTCTCTGAATTTGCTGTTTAAAGACCCTGCAGGAAGTCACAGGTGTTCACACTGAGGACAAAGAGGAGCAGGTAAGCTGGGTTGAGGACACCTGTGGGGAAGGAGGAAGGCAGGGAGCAGCAGGCTGGGAGGAGGCTCAGAGTGTGAGGCAGAGGGTGGCAGGAGGGGGTGGCTGGATAAGTTTCACTCCAGGAAGACCAGGAAAACGTTGCTTATCATAGTGCCTTGTTTCATTACTTTTAATCATATTTCTCAAGTATGTCGTAGGACTATCCTCTCATAGTGACCGTACAGATACAAAGTCATGTAGCTCTCAGGGTATTGTGGGTGAGGCTACCTCCTCTTTGACAGAAAAAGAGACTGAGTCCAGGAATGTCAAACACTGTGCCTGAGTGGTGACACTGGGAATGGCTGAGCTGCAGGGAGCCCAGCAGAAGGGCCCCTTGAGCCTGTCCTTCCAGGACCAAGCCTGCCCTCTTCCTTTTTTTACTCACAAACAGTGGGTGGCATCTTGTTCTGACCAATGCTCGTGTCCTTGTCTCTGTGGCTTCACCTCAGGATCCTTTAGATGCTCTTGGAGAAATCTCCCCATGTATAGATTGAGGATTCTTCTGTCAGTGGGAATATCCTGGATTTCTGTTCAATGCAGGGCAACGGAGCAAACGGAGGAAGGAGCCCAGATGCGATTCCATTTGACGTGACATTAGAGCCCACAAGTCAGACAGGTTGCTCGGCACCTGTGATGGGCACACAGGCTCATGAGGATGGGACTATCTCTGATGCTCCTCTGCTGTCAGGGTCCTGTGGGCCCCACGTGGCTGCATGAGGATCCTATAGGGGATGCTATCATCTGTGAGGGCTGATGGGGTGACCTTGATCCTGCCGTCCCCATCTAGAAGCTGCCCTCTGTGCTGGACCTGCCTCCTTCCTGCCCAGTGCTTTGTCCTTCACTGTCCTCTGATGACATGGAATGTGGCAGTCGCCCCTCTCTGCTCTTCAGTTTCCCCTCCCTGCTTCTCCTGGTGCAGCTGCCCACGTGGGGCTCTGCAGGTGAGTGTGTCCCGATCTCTCCTCCTGGTCTCCCTGGGGTGGGTGGAGCCCCTGGTGCTGTCTGCCAGGATGGGGTGAGGTGTGTGGCTCAAGTCTGGGTACAGAATGGCCCTCCTCAACCCTGATTGTTCTTTCTCATTTAAGAAGAGTCACTGACCATCAGGGGAGCGTGAGGGATGTTGACAAGTGTTCATGGATCTTTATGGGCTCGGCCTGTGTGTTCCCTGTTCTCAGTCGTGTGTCTGTGTCCACAGATGTGTTCCAGGTGATTGGCCCCACTGACCCCATAGTGGCAGTGTTGGGTGGTGATGCCATTCTGCCCTGCTCCCTGTGGCCACCCATGAATGCAGAAGACATGGAGCTGCGGTGGTTCCGGTCTAAGTTCTTAGAAGCAGTGCTCGTCTATCAGAACGGCCAGGAGCTGGATGAGGAGCAGCTGCCCCAGTATGCAGGGCGGACCTTGCTGGTGAGGGGACATCTTTCCCAAGGCAAGGCTGCTGTGCACATCCAGAACATACAGGTTTCAGACAATGGCAAGTATACTTGCCTCTTCAAGCAAGGAATACTATCTGATGAAGCCATTTTAGAACTGCAGGTGGCAGGTTGGTGACTTGATTTATATTGCAGAAGCCTGGGTATACTGGATTTGGGGGGTAACTCACGTAATTCAGGATCTCATTTCATAGTGAGGAAAAGGCAGCTGATTCATTCATTGATCCACTTTTTCAATATAAATCTTGCATGAGAAGAACCTAAGTTGTGCCATGCCTTGTTTTGGATACCAGGGAGGATAGCTGTGGAGTTTATGATAAAGAGATGAGACAAAAACAAGGAAAATAAACGAGTAGTTTGATGATGTTAGAAGGTAATAGGTGCTAAAGATAAAATAAAAGAGGGCCAGGAGCATGAAATGGAGGGAAGCTGGCTGTCGGCAGTGGAGGGAGGGCAGCCTGTGGGTTAAGATGAGGCCTCAGTGTTGATCTGAGCATGGCTCAAAGGAAGTGGCTATCTCTCTAATTGGATATTTGGGTGAGGGGGGCAGAACAAGCTTCAAAGTAGGGAGGTATGCAGTGTGAAACCTTTGGTACAGGAGATGTTTGGCGTGCTCTGGGAATACAGGGAGGCCATTGTGTTGTGTGGGTAGAAGTGATGATGGGGGAAGGCAATGTGACAATGTGCAGTGATAATATTGCAATGAAGAGCTAGATATTCCTGGAGTAGCAATGCCCAATGACCAGCAAAAAAGATCATTTGTCATAGGCACTTGTTTTGACACACGAGTACTGCAGTAAAAATCCCAGGATCCTCTATGGATTGAATGTGAGAAGGCAGAGACATGTATTGCGCTATGTCCACAGACATCCACAGTGATTCAAACAGTCCTTGTGACAGTGTGTGTGGGTCCTGTGGAGCAGATTGTAGGGTCAGGGAGGGTGGCAGAGGGAAGGGGTTTCAAGTGTGAGGCAGATGTCAGATGGCTGCAGGCTGTGTGTGCTGTGCTGGGAGTGTGGATGAAGAGCAGGGAAATTTGAATAGAGCAGTGGTGGGAGGATTCTCTTTGAAGGCTGTGAGGATGTGGAATGGAAAGTGAGTGAGGGGCCATGGAGGGCAGTCTGGGGTGGAGAGGACCAGTGTGTGACCTCAGGCAGCAGTAGGGGTTGGGAGAGCAGGTGTCAGCCAGGGGGGATGTTTAATAGCCTGATCTAATTCATGAGTTCACTGCAGACAGAGAGTTCAGAGGGGGAGTTGGGGCCTGCAGGGACTGTTAGGGCTTACCTTGGCTGCTTGTTCTCAATGGTCGGAATATTGGTGATTATGTGTCAAGGAAGCTTCCCATGATAATACTGTGTAAGGAACAGCCAGGAAATCTCAGTGGCATATAGCAGAATTCAATATAGGCACCAAGGGATTTTAACCAGAGTTGGTCTTGGTTAAAATCATTTGTGTAACTCACACATTGTTAGTCTGGTTGTGGAAGTGATATCAAAACCATGGTTGTTTCCAAGAAATCCTGCCAGCAAAGGTACTAGAGGAAGACAACACTTTGCTGAGAATCAAACCTGAGCACATTGCACAGTACAGGAACTCCATCAAGGCTTGCCTAGACAGCAAGAAAGCTTTCTCTTCCTTTTTTTTTTATATAGACAAGCAGGTGCAATATGCATTCCATATCTTTATACATGTTACATTTTCATTTTTTCAGTTGGGTCTTTGTTTGACACAATGGCACCCAAGGGCCAATTGGGCATGAGAGGGAAGAAGCAGATATATTAAAGGAATAGAGAGACCCTGGAGTGTACCAGCCATCATGCTGAGGGCCAACTCTGTTTATTCTCTTGTGACCTTGGTCTTCTTCTCCTTGTCTCCCTCATTTTGGGCCTGGAGGCTCTGGGCTGCAGTCTGGCTGAGTTCATTGCCAGCCACCTCTCTGTGATCTCACAAGGATCAGTGACCTTCTCTGAGTATGTGTCCTTGATGTGTGGTGTGAGCCTGTGCATGGTCCAGGATGGAACAAACTGACAACCATTGTGCAGATGCTCAGCTGTCTCTCTCTCTACGCCAGGGCTGTCTGGATTTGGCCCTTTATCTCGTGTGGGTGAATGTGCTGGGTCCCTGGTTCATGGCTGACAGGGATACCCTAGCACTAAAGCTTAATGAAAACCTGCAGTGCCAACAGGAACTGTGACAGATTCAATGATCGTAGCCACTGATGCAGCCACAGGCTGCTGGGCCCTTGGTGTCTCTTATCAGGTTATCCTGCTTCTGTTTCTGAAGCAATGAGGGCCTATTGCATGGATCCAGAGCAGTCAGAAGTATCGATTGTTGAATCAATGGCTTAGAATGTGCCCATCAGGAGGAAGCTTGATTGGAAACAGGGGGAACTCGAACCCAGCACTCAGATGTGGCCATCCCCAGCATTACTTCACCTGCTGCAACAAACAACCTCATGCATAGTTTTAGAAACAAACTACAATTATTCCTCCAATAATAACACTTGGCATACTAAATATTACATGTAATTCACTAGAAATTCACCTGATTATTGTAATGGTTAATTGCTTTTACCTTGAGGCAATCTCAACTTCTTTCATTCTATACTAGCAGGTGGTTTTTTCAACATAGTGAGGCCCTGATGCTTTCAAAGAAAATGATAGAGGGGAGCTGAAACTTTTGATGGTGACATTTCAGCATGCTGTCTCCTGAGCAATGAAAGATATACCGGGGTCATTTAGTCATTAAAAGTCCTGTATTTTTTTCAAAATTACACCTTCATATTCCATACAAGAAGAGGTGCCTACAGTTCTCAGTGATCAAAAGTGAACAGTTGCAGAAAAAAAGAGGAGAGGGGGATTTCTCATCTCATTACAACATGGAGACTGAAATCTTACTCTAAGTGCTGTTTGTCCTTTCCATCAGCTGAAGAGGTCACTGGGTGACCATGGGCTGTGTGTGCTCACATGACTGTTGGCTCTCCTAGGCATCCTCAACCAGAGCGCCTGGGTGACCAGTGACATCCCAACAGTCCTGTCCTCCAAGGCCTACCCAGGCACTTTGTTCTTGTGGAAATGGCTGAGAGTAAACCAATAACACAAGAACATTCCCAGTCTCTGCTTAAGCCACATTATCTAGTTTTTCATTGGTCAAATTGAATCACATGATGAATTTCTGAGTGTTAATCAATTACAAAGCACATGGTGAAGCACTAGCTCAGCATAAAGAAGGATAATGTTTAAGAGGTACGTTGTAATCAATTGATCTCTAAGATGTCAAAATTGTGAATTCAGTGCTGAGTGTTTGAGTTTCAAATGTTTGTAAGGCAATTGGTTGAGATAACACACAGGTACATGGATATAAGGAAGGGAGCTGGGGAGAAGAGGTTTTGATTGGTGTGGTTTTGCAAGCAGTTTCCAGAGGCAGTGTGTGTGGAAGCAGATGTAAAGGTCAGTGAGATGAAAAGGGTAGAGAATCAAGGCAAAGTCCTGGGACTCAGTATTTTCTGTTATCTAGGACCCTCAGTCATAAATGCTCCCTCAACCTGTGCCTCCTAAAGGTCCCAGGGCTCTTGATGTCGTTTAGGGCATGCCCTTTCCATGGGGTCCAAGAATGCAGCATGCATGGCTCCCTGTGAATGTGGGCAACACTAGACTTTGCTGAAACTGTGCTCCCCTGTAGCTTCCCCAAGATCTCCACAGCTCCCCTCTTGCAGGCCTGGGCTCTGCCCCACAAGTACACATTGAGGGGCCAGAGAAGGATGGAGTCCGTGTGGTGTGCAAGGCCTCAGGGTGGTTCCCGAAGCCCCAGGTGCAGTGGAGAGACGTCCGTGGAGAGAAGTTCCTGGAGTTCTCCGAGGCCAACACCCAAGATGCAGCAGGTTTGTTCAGCGTGGAGTCTGCTCTGGTGGTGAGAGACAACTCTGCAGGGGATGTGACCTGCTCCATCCTCAATCCCATCCTGGGCCAGGAGAAGGTCATGGCCATTCCCATCCCAGGTCAGTGCTGTCTGTTCTTTCCCAGCAGGGTTGGAGAGGGTGGTGTCCCTGGGTGTGCTGGTTGGGCTTGGGTCCTCCCCTGACTGTGTGTCCCCCTCTGGGCACAGAGCCCTTTTTCCCTCAGGTTTCTCCCTGGAAGGCAGCCTGTGCTGTAAGCCTGACTGTGCTGGGGCTGCTACTTGTTGGAGCTGGCTGGGTCACCAAGAGAGAACATTCTGCAAAGGTGCAGGAAAGGCAGAGACAGAAGGATCTGTGCCGGGCTAAGGAGGAAGACCAGCAGGCAAAGGAGGAGGCTCTGAAGTCCAGAGGTAGGGAGGAAGGTTTCAGAAGGGCAGGGGCGACAGTTAGTGCATAGAGGGGACAGCCTGACATGACTGGAGTCCATGGGTGCAGCTCTCAGAGGACATCCAGGACCGCAGGCCCAGAGCAGGTGGTTGTGGAGACTCAGAGCAGAGCGGGGGGATGTGGAGGTGTGGTTGTTCTGGAGTCAGAGCTGTGTATAGCACAGAGCAGAGGGCTTTCCTGTGGGGTCTTCAGCACATGGTCTCTCCTTTTCCTGGTGTGGAGTTCACGGTGTTTCCACTCTCTTTCAGATGAGCTCCAGGCAGAACTCGGTAAGCTCTGCTCTCTCTCCTGAGCTCTGTGTTTGCTGGAGAGAATCCTGTGGCTGTCAGCTCACCTGTTCCCTGTGTGGTGCTTTTCAGGTCGGAGGAAGGCAGCATTCCGGGCTGGTGAGTGACTTTGCAAATGATTTGTGGTTTCCTGTCCCAGGCCTGGCCAGCTGTCCCCTCTCTTTGTTTCTGACCTGGCACAGAGATATGGACCCCTTCTTGGGGGGGGGGCAGCAGCAGTAGTGGTGGGTGGCTAATCCTGGCTCAATGTGTTTTTCCATCTGTGCAGCTGTTTTCCCACCTCTCTTTAAGCCCAGGGTACAAACCCAGGCCAAGGATTTTGTCCTGCCACCTGGGTTTTATTTCAACTCTGACTTGTGTCCCTCCCATGTTTATTGTTGCTGTGTTAACCTGCAATGCACCACGTTTGGGTCTGCATCAGGAAGCCAAAAACAGATGTTCTAGGTTTCATGGGAGGTGGGATATGAGTAAATGGCACACTGGGCTTGGGAGTGTGACCCGCTTCCTTCTCAACGTACCACCAGGGGGAGGCATTTCTGTCCTGTTCTGCACAGGTGCAGGTGCTAATGGTCGAGAAGAGGACCAGGTGCAGCCTGTGATGGGAGGAGATGAATATTTCTGAGTAATGGTTTCTCCTCTCTCTCCATATTTATGTTTATAAATGTTTAAGATTTACTGTATATTTCGAAAGTTATAATTGGGGCTGTGAATTTTATAGAGACAAATGTCTTCCATCTGCTAGTTCATTTTGCAGATGGTCACAATAGCCAGTTCTGGTTGATGCTAAAGCCAGGGACCAGGAGCTTTTCTTTGTCTCCTAAGTGGTTGTAATGTTCCAAGCCCTTTGGACTTCATTTTCTGCCTTCCAATGTCAAGTAGCAGGGATCCAGATCAGAAGTGGTGCTGCTGTGTTTTGCATTAGCCCCCATATTGGAGTGCTGCACTGTATATGATGGCTTAGCCTGATATTCAACCCTGGAATCCCACGTTCTCTGTGTTTTAATTTTTCCAATTTTTACTTTCTGGAAATGATAGGTAATAACCAATTGTCATACATATAGCATCAATTATAATTTTCACTATGCTGTTCTGTTTTATAACAGAAGCAACACTGAGGGACACATGACACAGGAGTCTCTGTGTTCTTAGGCTCAGGGCAACGGGTTGACAGTTAAAAATCACACAGCAATGTGTCAGAGCAGGCTTCCTGATCTGTGGCCAGGAACTTCCCACAGTCCTCTGCTGGATGTCTTAACCTACAGGAGGCCACTCCTCTGCAGCCTCCCTCCTCCTGCTGTCTCTCCCCTCAGCACAGAGGGCAGGTGGGGGCTGAGCAGGTGGTGGCTGTGGTCTCACAGGTGTGTTTCCTTTCAGGCTGGAGGAAGGCGCAGCTGTATGCTGGTAAGTGAACTGGTGGTTCCTCTGCCTCCCTTCCCTCTGCCCTGCCCCTCCTCTGTGTGTGGACTTCCTCCAGCATGGGAAGGTATCCCTGCTTTCCCTGTCCCTGTTGTGGCCCCCATGCAGGGACTCCTCCTTAGGAGCACAGCTCTGCTTCCATTCTGGACTCTCCCTCTCCTGAAGGTCACTGTTTGGGACACCCTCTGCAGGACCTTGTTCAGCTCGTATTTCTCATTGGGGTGGTGACCACGGGGAGATAGTAGCAGGGTGACAGCTGTTCAGATCAAGAATTGCTGGTCTCTAGAAGATGCTGGAAACCACATTCACCTGCTTAGACATCAGATGTCAGTAAGAGGGTTGTTAGTTCTATGATCTTCTTATCCCCAAATACCTACACTGTAAGTACCACGTTTGTTTCCCCATGTATTCCCGGTCTTCTGGGATGCTGCTCTCTGTGTATTGTGCTCTGACCACTGTCCAAGCTGTGTGTCTTCCTCTACACATCGTTGGTTGCAGAGGAATGAGTTACTCTGAGTACATGTTCTTAATCCTGGAAACCGTCCAGGGTATTTGTGGATGGATTTCTGAGTTGGTGTGTATGAAACATCTGAAATTATTGCATCATTCTGAGTATTGCTTGACAGGGAGACAGGCAGAGTGAGAATGAGAGGCAGAGGAAGAGAAAGACAAGAGATTCCATGTCTAGTTTTCTCCCCATCTGCCATCAACAGCCAGTGCTTGGCCAGATCAAAGCTGCTGGTTGGGCACTCCTTCAGGTCTCCCATGTGATGTCAGCATCTCCCCTGCTCAGTGCTGCCTCTCAAGAGTGTCTTTAGTCAATAGAAGCAGGAGTCAGTTCTTGGAGCTTGGAATTGAACCAGACATTTCAGTGGCAGTAGTGTCTTAACTGCTACTATAGTACTAGTAGAGTCTACTAAGTACTAGACCCTGTGAATGAAAATAATTCTTGTTTGGGAGGAAGAGAAAGTGAGAAGGGACACACACTCTTACTTATTTGTTGTTGCATTCCTTGAATGTCTGCAGTGTCCAGGGTAGTTTCAGGGCTGTGCTGGGATCAAATCTATGAGTGTGCAACTCATTCATGGTCTCCAATATGCACGTCAGGGATCCACTTACCTGATCTGTCACTTGTTCCCTCCCATGGTGTTCACTGATAAAAAGACATAATTGGGAGTTGGAGTTGATTCTGGTCATCAAATGCAAGCACTCAGATTTGGAATGTGGCCTGTTACCCAGTCCCTGTATTGTGACTGTTGAGGTGAAACATCTGTCCACAATTAGATGCTTTTTAAAAAAATCAAGAACAAATATTTTAAAAAGATTCGTTTATTTATATTGCAAAGTCAGATATATATGGAGAGGAGGAGAGACAGACAGAAATATCTTCCATCCCATGATTTACTCCCCAAGTGACTGCAATGGCCGGTGCTGTGCCAATCGGAAGCCAGGAGCTCTTCCGAGTCTCCCATGTGGGTGCAGGGTCCCACGACTTTAGGCCATCCTCAGCTGCTTTCCCAGGCCATAAGCAGGGAGGTGGATTAAAGTTGAGACTGCCGGGATTAGAATTTGTGCCAATATGGGATCCCGATTCGTTCAAGGTGAGGACTTTATCCACTAGGTCATGGTGCTGGGCCCCAAAAACAGAAGCAAAATTTTAATGTAAGATTTTTACATCACTTTGTCATGCTTTAGGAGAACTCTGTTTGTGTAAAGATTCTTGACTTGTTCAGTTTTCTTTAGGGTTTATACATGAACACTAGAAAATAGAAGTCTATGAAATTGAAATTACTTACCAAAGAAAGAGAAGTAAAAAAAAAATAAATAAACGGTGGTGTAGTATGTTCTATGGGGAAGTGAGGAGGAGATGAGTTAGGCAGCAAAGAAGCACCTGCAGTGATGCTGTGCAGAGGTTCTGGGTGGTTCAGAGGGACCGATGTGGGCTGAGGGTCACAGCATGGTTTTGCAATCTAGGAAGGTTACAGAGGTCTTAGGGAGTAGGTAGGGAATATGATTGTCTCCAAGATATCTCCTTGACACATTTAGGTAAAAGCCTGAAATTAAAATAAAAGTAAATTTCTTTGGACAGAGGGAGTGCAAGCAAGTGCTTTATGCCCTGTTTGACTCCTTCAATCTCTGATTGTGTGCTGAGGACAGAGCCAGGATTGGAACTCATACCAGGTCTCCTTCCTGAGTGGCAGGAATCCAATTACTTGAACCATCATTGCTGCCTCCCAGGATCTTCAACAGAAGGAAGTCAGAGTCAATCGGGATTGAACCAGGCACCAGGAGGTGGATGTGGGTATCTCAATGACTGGAATAAATGTAGCTTCTAAATCTGATCTTAAAAAGACAATTTGGGGCCTGGCACGATAGCGTAGTGGTTAAAATTCTCAGCTTGAATGCGCCAGAATCCCATATGGTTGCCAGTTCTAATCCCGGTTGGCGGCCTTGCTTCCCATCTAGTTTCCTCTTATGGCCTGGGAATGCAGTGGAAGATGGCCCAAAGCCTTGGGAACCTGCACCCGTGTGGGAGACCTGGAGGAAATTCCTGACTCCTGGCTTTGGACAGGGCCATTGCAGTCACTTGGGGAGTGAATCATGGGTTGAAAGATTTTCCTCTCTGTGTCTCCTCTCTGTATATCTGCCTTTCCCATAAAAAATAAATAAATCTTAAAAAAGAAATAAACACACAACTACATTTTTCTTGATAGTAAGACCATGTCAATATTTTAGGAGCAGTCAGGGAAGGAATGTGGGCAGGAGAACGCTGTTCAGTGGATGTTCATCCAGAAGACCCTGCACCAGGTGTTGATGCAGGATCTGTCCTCCCTGGACCTGTGTGAGAGGCCCTTCCCTGCTCTGGTGTCTGTGTTCATGGTTGGGAACAAAGACTGAACAACTGAGAGTCATGGCTCCTCTGAGGGGCAGGAGGCCTGGACACCAGGTGACTGGGAAGCCCACATTGCAGAGTCTCATTCTCTAGGACCTGTATTATTTATAAAGGCTGATGATGCTCTTATCTATCTCCTATCTATCTATCTATCTATCTATCTATCTATCTATCTATCTATCTATCTATCTATCTATCTATCTTTTCTGTCATCTGCAGAGTTTATCTTTTGTATTTTAATAACCCTATCAGGGTCTTTTACCCATTGCAAGAACAGAGAGCATCATTACATTAAAATCAAGATTTTCCTGTGGTGAGTTCATCTCTGGACAAATGTGTGATCTCTACTTTTGATATTGAAACAATTCCTAACTTACACTTGTCTTGTGAAAATGAAGCAAATTGATGTTTAAAAATTCTTGTTTTAGTGTTTTTATTTGAAAGCAGAGTTACAGAAGGGGAAGGACACACACACACACACACTGAGAAGGGAAGAGAGATATCTTCTGTCTGCTGGTTTATTCCCCTCATGGGTGTAACAGCTGGAGCCGAGTCTGTCTGACGCCAGGAGCTAGGAGCTTCTTTGGGTTCTCTGTCATGGATGCAGCACCCTGAAACTTCAGTCACTCCCTGCTGCCTTCTGAGGGTGTAAGCAGGAAGCTGGATGGGAAGTGAGCCTGTAGGGATTCAAGTTTGCACCCCTCTGGGATGATCACGGTGCAGGTGGAGGATTGTCTGCTAAGCCACTGTGCCAGCACCTGTACACTGATGTTTATTAAGCAGTACTAGACAGTTTTACTCTCACAGCCTGGCTCTGCTTCTATTTTTCCCTCCTTTTCCTTCTCTTTCCCCTTTTGTTCCTCTTTTTCTTCCTTATTATTATATGTGACAGGGCATACAAATTTATTTTATTTGAGAACAAATGTCTTGATTTTAAAAATGAAATAGTTTGTTTTGTTTTCTTGCTTTTTAAAATTTTCATTTTTTTCATGCTAGGCTGAAGGATTTCCCCTTCCATCCTCCCTATTCACCCTTCCCCCATTTTTTTTCCTATATTATTACAATGGTATACTCCTGCAGCAAGTCACAAGTCCAGCATTCTGCTGTACAAGTGTATCATGACATTGTAGGTATAGCCAATGGTAGAGAGTACAGTATCCTACTGTCAAGATATATTTAACAATTTCATTGAGAGTTCATCTTTGATGGAGGAGTAGAGAGGTATACTGCATTGTTCATTCACTTCTCAGTATACAGTTCTTCTAGAAAAATACATGTGTATGCTTGCTCACCTACATATGTATTGATCTTTATATTGCATAAAGGTTGTGACATATCAGAGAAAAAATATGGTGTTTCTGCTTTTGGGATTGGCTCATTTCACTGAACTCTAGTTGGGAACATTTTGTTGCAAATGATAGAATTTCATTCTTTTTAATGGCTGAATAGTATTTCACAGAGTAGATGTATCAGGTTCTTTATCCACTCCTTTTTTGATGGGCATCTGGGTTGTTTCCTTGCTTTGCTATTGTAGATTGTGCTGCTGTAAATATAGGATTACAGATCCCCTTCTCATATGCAGATTTCATTTCCTTTGGATATATTCCCTGAAGTGGGATAGCCGGGTCATATCATAAATCAATTTTCAGTTCTCTTAGCACTCTCCATACTGAGTTCCACAGTGACTGTACCAGCCTACATTCCCATCAACAGTGAAGTAGGATACCTTTCTCCCCACATTCACAGAGGCAGCACCAGCAGGTATTGTGCATAGATTTCTGAATGTAGGCCATTCTCACTGGAGTTAGGTGACATCTCAAGGTAGTTTTTATTTGTATTTTCCTGATAGCTAGGGAACCTGAGCATTGTACAAAATATGAACTATTTGAAATTTTTTTTAACATTTGTCAATTTTTAGTGGAAAGTCAGCTGTACTGAGAAGAGGAGAGATAGAAAGGGAAATCTTTCGACTGCTGATTCACTCCCCAAGTAGCCACATTAGCTGAGCTGAGCTGATCCAAAGCCAGGAGCTCTTAGACTTTTTAGGATCTCCCACATGGGTGCAGATTTCCAAGTAATTGGGCCATTCTTGACTCCTGTCTCAGGCCATAAGCAGGAAGCTGGATGGAAAGTGGGTCTGTTGGGGCATGAACTACCTTCATATGGGATCCTGGCATGTTCAAGACAAGGACTTTATCCACTAGGCTACCACATTTGGCCAGAAATTGTTCTATTGGAAAATGCCTGCTCAGAAACAGATGGAGAAATATAAGCCAGCATGAAGCAGAGAGGGCACATTTCAGGAAATAGGAGAGGACGGAACAACAGCACAGGGGTACCTGGAGACTGACAGACACAGGAAAGCAGCGGACACAAAGGTGTGGTGTTGCAGTGACCAATACCCCAGCAGCATTCAGCAAGTGGTGATCTGAACTCCACCAGCAGCCAGAATTCCACCAGCAACAAGGTGGGAAGGGATGTTCACCTGGAGCTCAGGAGGTGAACCCAGTCAAAGAACTGCTTGTCCTGCTGCTCTGTTTAATTTGACCAAGAGCAGAGACAGAGCGCCAGGTCTCAGTCAGGCACTGTTAGAACAGGTTGGATTTCACAGCCCAGTCTGTCCCCATAGAACCGTATTGTATGCCACTTTGTTTAAGGAGGCAAGGGATATGGTACAGTACTATACATGCGTTGAGCTGGGAGTGAACTCATTTCTGGTTCAGTGGACTGCAACAACACGACATCCTACAGGTTCCACACAAGACAGGTGGGTAGCCTTCAGACATGACAGCAAACAGATCAAGAATTCTACTAGTGGCACATCAGGTGTCATTTCATATGGATGGCAAAGAATTTAAGATTGCGGAGGACAACAGTGAGCTGTACATGTGCTGAGCTTGGCAAGAACTGCCTGAGCACAGTGCATTGTACTGGTCAGACAGGAACATAATACCGACTTTGGCATTGTATGGGTCAAAATAGGTCCAAGTGGCCCTCAGAACTAATGGCCAATAGGTTCCAGCAAGATCAACACTATCAACAACCCAGCTATATAGGACACCTGGTGTCTCTTTAATCATGGGGCCTGCTCCAACTGGAAGTGGGAGAAAGTTTGTATAGTAATGGTGCAGCCTCAGCATGTTATCACAGAAGGTGGAAACTGGTGAGCCAGGAGCTGGGGCTACAGAGACCATGGTGGAAATCTATCATAAGAACACAGACCTGGAACCCGCTGGAAGGAGTGGCATAAATGCAAAAAAAATAGCGGTGTACCAACTGCAATAAGTGAAATAGAACTGTAGAAGCAACCTAGAAGCTTAGCTTAGTGTTCTGCAAGTGAATAGAGGACTTGGAATTTTGAAACCCCCAATTTATTCAAGGGAAATCTAGCTTTCAGGATGATTTTATGGCTAGGAAATTGGTTAGCACCTGTTAATGAAATTTTTATAATGGCTTATCTGTTGAGGTCAGAGTCCAGTTTCTCAATCCTGAATGTTAATTTTATGTTTGGTCTTTGCAGGAAGGCTGCTGCAAGCTTTCTCTCTCTCCCCCTGTGTGTGTGTGTGTGTGTGTGTGTGTGTGTGTGCACGCACGCATGTGTGTAAGAAGCTTTTCATGAACTGAATGTCTCCCAGCACAATTCTCCTTCATTCTGCACATCACTGTCTGAAAGGAGCAGGTGCTGACCGGACATGCAAACCATGACACCAACCTCTATTTTCTTATAGATTGGCGGAAAGAAGAGTTCCAGGCCTGTGAGTTCCTTCATGTTTTTCCTGGGTGTTCATCATGTGGTGCCCATGGCCCTGACTTCTCCTTCAGTTCTCTGTGTTGATGTAGATGCTGGCATCATCAGCTTTGGGGGATGGGGAGTATGTGGAAGAACGACCTGCCCCTCAGGTCTCTGGGACGCATCTGATTCTCAAAGCATTGTGGTCCCCCCTGCTTGAATGACATGGGCTTGACTCCCTGGGGTCTTAATTCAGGGGCTTTGCCTTTTCCCCATGCAACTGGATGCTATTCGGTTGGTTTTGTGTCCTGTTTATGGGGTAAGGGGGGACAGGACTGACTGAGAATTCTCTCTGCAGGGTCTGTCACTCTGGATCCAGCCTCTGCCGATGCTGACCTTGCCATTTCTCCTGAAAGCACCACTGTGACCTGGAATGACAAAAATTTGGGCTTTTGGGATCATTCCAGTGTGTTGGGCCTTGAGGGTATCACATCAGGAAGATGTTACTGGGAGGTGGAGATCAAGGATGACTGGAGAAGTCAGTGGGCTCTGGGGGTCTGTCAGAAGCATGTGGAAAGGTCAGTCTTAATCAGAGAATCATCAGAGAAGGGATTTTGGGTTTTGGAGTGTGCTTACCATGAATATTATGCTTGTCCTGACAAATCAAGTCCTCTATTCCTTAGGCAGTATCCCCGCAGTGTTGGGATCTTCCTGGACTACAGTGAGGGTGATGTCTCCTTCTATAACATGACAGATGGGTCCCACATGTTCTCCTTCCCCACAGCTGTGTTCTCTGGACCCCTCCACCCATACTTCAGGCTTAATACAGGAGATGTGACCCTGAGTATCTGCTCCCCAGTGGGTGGGTCTGAGGGACTTCCTGCGGCCCTGAGCAATTCTCCTTCTTTAGAGCAGTCTGGGAGGTCCCGAGGGGAGGGGCTGAGCTCAGGCTCTGGTGCTGAGGTTGCTCTCCCAGGGGCTGAGTCTCCATTACTTTCCTACCCCTCATAGGGCACCTTTTTGTCCTGGCTCTTCAGTTTGACCCTCCTGGGGCTGCAGACTCCCGTGACCAAAAGCCCTCAGATAAGTTTCTGATGGCCCTGGGACTTTGTCCTCTTATGGCTATGAGGACAGGTTGATCATGGCTGGCGTCCAGAAAGACGAAGATTAGCATTGACTGTTGTGTGAACTGGCTTAGGATAAGCCATATTATAATATGAAATCATTGTTTTGGTTTTAAAATTATTTCATGGATTTAAAAGTTTCTTTGGATATGAAGGTGGCTAAGATCTGAGATACTTTGCCCAAAAAGGAGTTTATATAACCAGGTTGTCTCTGAGCAGAGGGACTAAGAGAATGACATGGTTCCCACCTGTATTCTGGGAGCATTTGCCTCACTGGATGACAAAAGTTTGCCATCCAAATATTGCCATGGAAATGAATGACTGATGGATTGTAATATAAAGGAATCTAATGGTCTGCTTTGTGTACCTCCCTTTCTGGAATGGAGGAAACATGGCTGCTTTTCCTCTCAGTATATTCCTATGACCCATGAACACACTGTGGTGTGTTAATTCAGGGATCTAAGGATGAGGGTTTGGATCCCCCCCTTTGTGTCATCACTGAAACTGAGGGAAGAAGAGAGCTGTTATCAGAATAAGCAGTGAATAGTGCTCAGATGAAAAGGAAGAGAGAATATTCAATCGCAAGTTCAAGTGCTAAAAATTTGATCATGATGATGGTCAAAGGCATCACTTCCTAGTAGTTCCAAATCCCACTGTTACAATGACAGGAACACCACAGCCAAGCCAAAGCAGCAGGAGTGTGAAGGACTCTGATTTTTTTTTAATTAATTACTTTGCATTATGTGACACAGTTTCAAAGGTACTAGGATTCCCCCAACCCGTCTCTGTGCCCTTCCCCCGTGGTGAATTCCTCCACCTTGTTGCAGTATTACAGTTCAAATTAAGTCAAGATTCTTTCTTTGCAAACATATACCAAGCATAGGGTCCAGCATCTAATTGTCCAGATAAATTCAACGGTTTCTTGGGGAGATCTTCTCTGGTCTGAAGGAAGAGCAGGCACAGTATCGTCCTGATCAATTAAAAGCCCCAACACAACATCAACAACAATTTATCACATTATGGCATTAATTTACATGGTGTTGATTAACCAATATGCAAAAAAATGCAAGTTCTTAACTGCATCCTGTGACTACTTTATTGACATTTCAATTTTAGTTTATACACAGAATCAGAGGCCATACACCTTAAAATGGCTATAGGGTGCTATTCTGCTGTCTTGTGTCTATTTTCATTTTAGTATTCAGCAGTTTATAGTGTTGAAGCATAATTTTCTGAACTTGGCAGATTTTAGGATGGTCTGAACTGGCTTATAACTCTAACAAGGCATCTGTGTACAGTTGAGGTGCAGAACAGTTTTAGGAAGGGTGTGCAGAGAACTCTTCAATACCCCAGTGAGGAGTAACTAATCATTGTGTCCTACCTAGTAAGCTATATGTGGATTCACGCTGACCATTTCCTATCTTGTTCTAAGCTTTGCTTATTGTTCTCTGTCTATTCTAATTTTGTTTGTTTTTTTGGGGGGTACTCTAGAGTGACCCTGATGGTCATAGCAGAGAGGGTGGGGATCCAAAGTTGGAACTAATAAGGACCAGAGAAAGATCCTCTCTCTAGTCCCGAAGGAAGTTTGCTGTTCTTCTGTTTCTGCAGACTGCTCAGGGCTTCTGGCTGTTGTTCCGATGACCCTGGATCCTGCAAGGAAGGATTTGGGCTTCTTCCATCCTGTGTGGTAGATCCAAATGGGAGTGGGTGACCTCAGAGTTCTCGGTCTGCGAAGGCACTCCAATTCTCTGTGGTCTCCTTGGGAGTTGGGATGTAGTCCTTGGTGCTTGTACTGACATTCCTTGGTGAGGATCCGTGAGTCTTCAGAGTTGGGATACAAGCCTCCTCCTGTCCACCTGCTCCACTCTGGGGTTCCCCCCTGCTCTGTGCATATGACCTCCTGTTAAGAGGTTGTCAGGATCGCTCCTGATTTCCCCTATATGACTTTGTAGTCTGTAGTCTATGAGTTACCTGTTATGTTTCTGTTAGGTTATACTTTACGTCTTCCTCACACCTTCTAAGGAGATGGAAGATTTCTCTGCTTTCCTGCTCCATTTCCAAGTAGCTTAGGATCTTAAAAGTGTATTAGGTTTTACAATTCTTTGATGTAGATCAGAAGCAATCTGACTCACATTGATTGTTGGTTCATTGGTTACTTCACAATATCTTATTGCATGAGATACAGGCTGTTTGGGGTTGAAATAATATTAGAGTTTACAGGTACTGTTTTTTGGATTAACATCATTTCATCTTAAGTTAAGGCAAACATGTGGTATCTAACCTTTTGTGGTTAGCTCATTTCCCTTAGCGTGATGGTTTTCAGTTGGGCCCATTTGGCCACAAAAAACTGCATATTTTTCCTTTTTCTGAAGATTTATTTATTTATTGGAAAGTCAGATATACAGAGAGGAGGAGAGACAGAGAGGAAGATCTTCCGTCTGATGATTCACTCCCTAATGAGTGCAACGGCCAATGCTATGCCGATCCAGAGCCAGGATCCAGGAACTTCCTCCAGGTCTCCCACACGGGTGCAGGGTCCCAAAGCCTTGGGCCGTCTTCAACTGCTTTCCCAGGAGACAAGCAGGGAGATGGATGGGAAGTGGAGCTGCTGGGATTAGAACCAGTGCCCATATGGGTTCCCGGGGCATTCAAGGTGAGGACTTGAGCTGCTAGGCCATGCCACCATGCCCACATATTGTTTTTTTAATAGCTGAGTAGTATTCCATGGAGTATATGAACCATAGCTTTCTTATCCAGTCTTCTGTTGATGGGCATTTCGGTTGATTGCATGTTTTTCAATTATTGATTGTGCTACTATCAACATAGTGGTGCATGTTGGTTTGTCGTGAAACAGGTGTTTTGGATACATTCCTAGGAGTGCTATTGCTGGATCATATGGTATGCTGATTTTCAATTGTTTCAGTATCCTCCATACTGATTTCCATAGACGCTGCACCAATCTGCAGTCCCACCAATAGTGGAGTAGGGTTCCCTTTTCCCCACATCCTGGCCAGCAAGTGTTGTTGGTGGTTTTTTGTATGTAAGCCATTGTTACTGGCATTAGGTGTTACCTCATTGTTGTCTTAATTGGATTTCTCTTATTGCCAGGGAACTTGAGCATTTTTTCATGTGTTTGTCATTTGGTTTGTTCTTTTGTGAAACATCTGCCCATTTCCCGTGCCCATTTCTTGAGTAGTTTGTTTGTTTTGGTGTTTTGGTTGTTCTGTAGATCTTTGTATATTCTGGAGATTAGCCCCCTGTCACCTATGTAGTGTGCAAAGATCTCCCATTCTGTGGGTTGCTTTTTTTTAACTTTGTCGATTGTTTCCCTTGTTGTACAGAAGCTTCTTAGTTTGATGAAGTCCCATTTGTTTATTTTGGTCTTGATTGCTATTGCCTTTGGGGTCCTTTTAAGAAAGTCAGGGCCTACACCTAAACCTTGTAGTGTGTTTCCTACATTTTCTTCCAAAAGTTTGAAGTTTTCTGGGTGTAGGTTTAAGTCTTTTATCCATTTAGATTTGATCTTAGTGTATGGTGAAAGATGTGGGTCTATCTCCTTGTTTTTACAGGCTATCATCCAGTTGTCCCAACAGATTTATTGAAGAGACCTTCCCATTTGTTTGGGTTGTCATCTGTGTTTTTGTCAAAGATTAATTGGCTGTATCTATGTGGGGTTCCTTCTGTTGTTTCTATTCTGTTCCATTTATCCTCTTCTCTATCTTTGTGCCAGTACTAGGCTGTTTTGATAACCACTGCCCTATAGTATGTCCAGAGGTCTGTAACTATGATCCCCCCCTGTTTAATTCCTATTCTTCGAGCAAAAAGCTGGCGGCAGGACAGGTCAGGTGGGTCCCAGTCTCAGGACAAGGGGCAGGCTTAACCCCCCCCCTCAAAGTGGCACTTGTTGGGGGCGCCCCTCCTGGACGGAATCCCGCTGGGGTCTTGGCCACAGTCCCCGCCGCAAGGTGGGGACAGAGACCCCGGCCTTGGGCGGCCAGTGCACCAAGTGGTGCCAGGCTCTGCCTGCTGGCCTCCCAGTGGCGAGCTCTGGGGTTTTTATGATAGGAAATAGCTGCTTAGGGACACCCATAAATAAGACCAGCATTAGTGTAGGTGAGACACGAATTTCTGGTGATTCCCTGGAACCGGGACATGAAACCTTAATGCAAGTGTGGGACTGAGATCTGAATGTTCGGACTAAGCAAACCTTAGCCCACAAACATGATTGGAACACAGGGTGCAGCTCAGGACATGCCCAGCTTGGCTTTGGCTCTAACTGGTCCACATTAAGCACAAAGTTGAGCCACGGTGTCTAAGGCAGGGTTCGTGACAGGTGGATGGGGCTGCAGTCGGGCGTGGATACAGTTGTTGTTTCCCTTGGCACAAATGTGGACTGGAAAAAGACGTACCAGGCCGGACCAGACCGCAACACCTTCTGGTGCTTTGGATGACCAGGATAGATGTGGGACAGACTAGGCTAGGTCCCAACCCCAACTGAGCCATATACGAGCTATATGGGGGTGTGGACGAGCCATGGCTGGGCTGAAACATCCTATAGTAAGAATCAGAATGGGATGATGGCCAGTTAGGAAAGGCCACTGTTCCTGCTAGGACAGGAGGCGAACTGGCACATGGACCCACTGGTATGCACAAAACCTGGCACTTGGAGGGGTTCTGATGGAGGAGCCCGGGCAACTCCTCTGGCAGGACACAGACCCTGCAGGTCAGCACAAGAAACATGGAAGGTAACAGCCAAGAAGTCATGGAAAATGTCCTACTGGCATGCATTTGGCATGGGTCGGGGGCAGACCAGGCTGAATCTGTTCATGTCATCCACCCTGACTGGGCTGCAGCTTCTACTGGTACTTGCGAGGGCCAAGTGTGTCC